CCATGAGTGGGATCTGAGTTTTTCTTGGAGGTTTCTGTATGGTTTTTTTAAGTGTAAGAGACGGCAAGAACAAACCCTGCCAGGAGCTGTTGCCCTCGGGGGAAGAGTTGTTTGTCTTGATGCTCTGATGACTAAAATTCAAACCACCATGGGGTGGTGTAGTGAGACTTCACTGGGCTGGAGGAGGCTGCCAGCACAACACCCCATCAGAGGCGTAGTCAAAAGGTCTTTTTTTATTCTTAATTTTGCAAGATGTGCTGACTGAAGTTCCTCATCATGTCCACGATATCCTGATGTCCTACAGTCACTTTTGAAAACACCTTGTTCGTCTTCTGTGTGCCCAGGAAATCGAGAACCCGGCTGTAGCCTGCTACAAGGGTTTCAGCTCCTGGTGAGATTGGGGCTAGATCTGACTGCAGGGCTGTATGGGGGTCCCCAGCTCGGGAGGAGCTCACAGGCATCGCTCTGCTTTTGTCTCTTATAATTAGGAAGTTGACCAAGAACAACTTGACCAAGACCAAGAGCTTGTCACGCTGGTCTAAGAACCTCAAAGGCTCCAAAATGAGATCTGTTCCATTCTGGGTATGTATATGTAGGGTTTTTTACTTCTTTTTTTTTTTTTTTTTTTTTTTTTTTAGGGCTTTGGAGCACATCTCCCAAAAGGCTGCTCTAACTTTACTCTGGAAAGCTATGAAAAGTTGTGTGGACAAAAGGAGAGCGAGTGAAAGGAGCCAGCTGACCACGTGGTGGCAACATGGAGATGCTACAGAAAGAGTGCTTGGACTTGTGTTGCCCCTGAAGGAAATGCTACTTCTACGGAGAGATCTGAAGCGATTTCATGGCTTAAAAGAGAATGGTAAAAGCATGAAGTGTAAATATTTTGGGTTGTTCTAAAGGACCCAATAGGTAGGGGAACGATATGTACCTGTGAGTAAGCTGTGTCACTATGCTGTGGATGCCTGTGGTGTAACTATATGATGTGGACCAAACAAATGGAAAAAGCAGGTTACAGATCGGTGAGAACTTTCTGAACAAAAGGATGTTAGGAAATGAGTAATTAAGACTGAGCTAGAGGAAGCGCAACAGGAAGCCACTTTGCAGCAGGACGGAGATTGGCTGGAGGTAACGATAGAAAAGGAAAATGTCGAACTCTGGCTTTGTGCTTGGACAGATGAATTTATTTTGTGGCGATTGAATCACCACTTGAACTTCCAGACCTGTGAAGAAAACATTGAGCAAGGCAGAGAATAAGCCTTTCTCCTCTGTATTTATAGAGATGGTGTGAACCCTCTCAGGCTGGTTCTGTTTCTATGCAAGACTTTCTCTTTCAGAAGGAAGTGTCACATGAGCCTAATGTACCCACCCTTTGGGTGACACGCCCAGTGTGTCAGTGCCTGGCTAGGGGGATCTGCTCCTCTCGGGAACAGCCCCGCAATGCTGTGATGCCTCTTGTATCTGCCCAGAGCATGGCTTCAGTGGCAACTTGTACGCCAGCAAGCGTATCCCCATAACTGTTCCTGTTCATCCTGCCCAGCATTTGTGTGCTTCTCGCTCATTTTTTCACTGTGAATTGAGTTTGGCCAAGAAGATGGAGCCAGTGGGGGAACCCCAAGGCAGGAGCAGTGTTTTGGCTGCTCCGGATTGAGCCTGGCTCATCTGTGCGTCTTCCTTGCAGGGCTGTACGGCTGCCAGGCTGCGCAGGGCTCAGAGGAGAAAAACCCTGGATAGAGCGGGCAGTGAGCAGAGCTGCAGTCCTGCCCCAGGGCTCCTGCCTGTGCTGCGATTGAGGATAAAAACCAGTTTTGTCTTCAGGGCAGCAAATGTCAGGGGTTTTTCTCCTCTGCTTGCTGTAATGCCGCAAGCTGTATCAGTTCTGTACCCACACCTGCTGTGCGTGTCCCAGCAGGATCCCAGCTGGAGCTGCTGGGAGTCCTGGAGGAGCATATCTACCTGATCTTACCTGGCCTGGCCTGTGCCAAATGCCAGGAATGATCCATGGGGCTGCCCACCTTGAGAGTGTAATCCCTGCTGCTGAAAATATTGCAGAAAATGCATGCATGGCTTAAATTGATAAATACATGAAAGGCAGAAGCATACAGAATAATCCTGCCCCCAAAGAAGAGTATGGGAACATAGTCTTATTACTAAAATCCCTCATTTCCAACTTTTGAGGTAAGACCTGCTCCAGGCATGTTTTGCTTAAATTAGATTGATAATCACAGAATGATCTTGGTTGGAAAAGCCCTTGAAGCTCCTCAAGCCCAACCATGAACCTCACCCTCACCGTTCCCAACTCCCCCAGACCCCTCAGCGCTGGCTCAGCCCGACTCTTCAACCCCTCCAGGGATCCCGGGGACTCCCCCCTGCCCTGGGCAGCCCATTCCAACGCCCAACAGCCCCTTCTGCACAGAAATCCTTCCTCAGAGCCAGCCTGACCCTGCCCTGGGCAGCTTGAGGCCATTCCCTCGGGGCCTGGCGCTGGCTCCTTGGCTCCAGAGACTCATCCCCCCTCTCTGCCCCCTCCTGGCAGGGAGTTGCCGAGGGCCAGGAGGTCTCCCCTCAGCCTCCTCT